GGCTTCGCCATCACCGACCTGCTGGGCCTGGAGGGCTGAGCTGCCGTCTCCGGCCGGACTCGGTCCGGGGTCGGGCTGCGAGGGCCCAGCGGCCGCGCCCCGTCCCAATCCCGGGCTCGGCAGCCCCCCGCCTCGCGCTCGGGACCCTTCCGCTGGGTCTCGGCTTCCTCTGCGGCTTCGGTGCACAGCCCCCCGCGGCCGCTAGGGCGCCCTGCCTGCTCCTCGCCGACGTGCCCCTTCTGCCTCGCCGGGAGCCCGAGCCTGCGCCCCCACCAGCCCTCCGCCGCCCGCCATCCCCGCTTGGCCGCCAGCAGCGCAGCGAAAGCGTCTCCACGTCGGGTAACTAGGCCATCCCATCCCATCCTGACCCTGTTCCCTCGGGTTTGGGCCGCGCCGGAGTAACGCAACATCAGTCCACCCCCAGATCCTAGATCCAAGGGAGGTCGGGACCCCAGATCCCCGCGGGGTCCAGGGGAGGCGCATCCCGGCACCCGCACCCCCTCTTGCCTCTTCCTAAGTCCCTGCCTGCCTATCCTCGGATTCTGGTGAATACCACTACCCGCCGGTTTTGGGCCGATCCTGGGGGTCTGGAGTACCCAGCACTGGTCTGGCTCTGCCGAGGGCCTTTCCCCTCCGCCCCGCGCGAATTTCGACCCTGGGAACCGCGTAGGTCGGGAAGGCTTGAGCCTGTCTTACCACCAGGAACACAGAACGCGGTAATTCGTGGGCGCTCACACCTTTGCAGAATTGATTGAATGATTGACGGGTCCGTGAAGAGCGCCTCTTTTCTCTCCTGGCGCCGCCCCTCCTCCTCCCTACCCTTGAGAAAGGAAGCAACCTCGTCAATTTCATTGTAGTTAGGCTTAGCACTTTGTTCTGAGGCCACCTATTTCCTCAAAGACATCGAGGCGGATTATAGGGAAAGAGAAGGAAGCAATAACATTCTTTAAAGGACAAAGGCCTAGAAACAGACGTTTAGGGAAATGTTTAGGGTGCTAGGGAAAATTACACAAGGAAACGTGGACTCAGAGGAACTATGCAGTAGAATCTAGAGCTGAGGATCCAGGCAGCCAAGGCAAAAAGGGTACACTGGGTCTCCACTGATAAAAGGAAGGCAGTAGGCAAGTGAGCTTTTGCTCAACTTCGAAAGGACTTTATTTCATGAGTCTATAAAATAAAATGAACCCTCAATTAGCCCCCCTCCCCTCCTAAAAATGCAGAAACCACCTACATAGGATGGGATCTTTCTCTGTGGGCACTGATAAAATGCAAAGCAAAATGCAACTAAATCTTAGTCTGTGAGGGAATTTCTGGAAGATCAAGAGCAATGCTACCCAATAGAAATATGTGTCTGAGAGTGTGAAGAAAATGTCTCTTTTTAAAAAGATTTTTTATTGATATTTTAGAGAGAGAGGAAGGGAGAGGGAATCATCCATGTAGAGCAAAACATCAATTGGCTGCCTCCTGCACGCCCCCTACTGGGCCCGGAGGGTCCAGCCTGAGTCCACAGCCCAGGTGTGTGCCCTGATTGGGAATCAAACCAGCAACTGTTCAGTGCACGTACAACACCCAACCAACTGAGCCACACATTAAAAAGGAAAAATAATTAGGTGAAATTAATTTAAATATTATATTATATTTAATCCAATACATATAGAATGACATTTACATATAATGAATCTAAAAATCATTAATATTTTACTTTTGGGGTAGTAAGTCTTCTAAATCAACAGCATATGTTACATTTACAGCAGGTCTCAGTTTGGGCCAGCCACATTTCATATGTTCAATGATGTGTGTCTAAGGGTACCTGATTGGACAGCATGGGCATATTCTTAAGCATACAGTTTTCTGGTGAGCTAATTGATGTTGGAGTAAAACTAATATTATTTTTCCTTTAATTTATTTTTCATACTTTGAGGCAAAAATGCCTTTTAACAATGAATCTGACAATAGTTTGATATTCTAACCTTCCTTTTTATACGGATCTTTTAATAGAAAGGCTATCAAAAGATAAAGCATAGTAGAGTTCTTAATATTTTTTCAAGTGCACCTAAGAATCATCTAGGCATATTTGTCAAGAATGAGTTTCTGGACCCCACATCCAGAGATTCAGAACTGATACAGCAGGGCAAGGAGTGCAGTTTTTAAAATGTAAAATAAAATATAACATTTTAAAATATAAATATGTTTATTGATTTCAGAGAGGAAGAGAGAGGGAAAGAGATATAGAAACATCAATGATGAGAGAGAAGCATTGATTGGCTGCCTCCTGCACTCCCCCTACTGGGGATGAAGCCTGCAACCCAGGCATGTGCCCTTGACTAGAATTGAACCTGGAACCCTTCAGTCCGCAGGCCCACGCTCTATCCACTGAGTCAAACCTGCTGGGGCAGGAGTGAAGTTTTGACAAGACTTCTGATGTCACAAACTTCAGCCCTCCTTTGAGAAATGTTGGTGTGCTGATTAAGATAAGGAAGTTGGAAGCAGAAGGAAATGGATGAATTTGAGAGCTGAGTGGGGATAGAAAATTCGATTAGCTTTGGCTTCACACAGTCTGGGGTTTGAATCCCAACTTCACCATTTAGTACCTGTGTGATCATGGACAGATGACTTAATCTCTCTGTGCCTCTGTTTCCTCATCTGTAGGAATAGGATACTAATAGCAGCTACCTCGGAGTTCTCTAATTTTATGAAGAAGAATTGCAATAATGCATGAACAATGCTGGATGGTAGTGAGTGCTAAAAATGCTAGCTTGTATTAAGCTAAATATTACTCACATTTTTCAACAAGTTCATAGGTTTAATCCTCGTATTAAAATCCAGAAAGTAAAGTGAAGAATATGCTCACCTTTAAAGTCCTCTCTTTCTCGTTATGCCAACAGATGAGGAAAGCCTACCTGGAAACAGGAGTGACCTGAAGGTGTCCCCAAACCCTGGCAAGAGGAAGAAGAGGCGGCACAGGTACAGGGCCAGGCCATCCTCTCTGACCCTTTCCCCGGGACACACAGCATCTGAGAGTGGGTGGTCCTGCATTACAGGAGGCCCAGTGGGCTCCAGGTCGGCAGTGGGAAGGGTACAGTAACCATTTAGGAACATAATTTTGCAAATCCCAGGAGGCTGCAGGACAATCTTTGCAGCATTTAAAAGACACAATTTTGTGGGCCTTTAAAATGGGTCTTCTTAGAATGAGTTGATGAATACATTGAGGAGGGGAAAAAATGCTGAAGAACTCTTTCTTATTTG